TCATTTTGCAAACGTGCAGCCAGAGAGGGCGTCTTCTACTCTTGCACAAAGCTGCCATTCCGGCTAGCTGAGGCCCTGGATGAAGGCCCTTTTCTGACATTTTGGCTTATGTGAAAAATTCAACTTCAACCGTGCGGCACCTCTAGGAAGACAGTGATCCGTGCAGCTTCGCGTTCTCTAGATGCTCCCTGATGCTCCGAGGTCCAAGGCTGAGGTTCCTTATCACCGACTTTCAGGCACTCCCCCGGCCGTTTCATTCACAGCCTGCGGTGGCCCGCTGGTGCAAGGGGCAGCCTGAGCGTGCGGCCCCCGTAGGGCAGACTCAGAACGGTATATGGAAATGACACGCATTTGGCCCACGGCTTGGGGGGTTTTGTTTTTAGTAGGCGTAGCTGTAGATCTGATCCCCCAAATCGGGGGAACAAGTTCGCCTGAGAGAGAGCTCAGTTATTTATTCCAGGACTGGCTGTTTATTGTTTCTCAGTGCCTGGATGCTGGCATGGAGGGGAGAGCCCCACAAACTTGGGATCTTTTGCCACGTTGGGACATGGCTACGCCTCTGAGGGCCCATTCTTAACAAGCTGGCACTCACTTTTCCCAGAGAGCATCCTCCCACAGGACCACCCCATCTCAGGGGGCTGGGCCGAGACCATCTCAGCCTCTGCCCCAAGCACGAGGGCAGAGGCCAAGGCAACCTTTTAAAGGATCGCAGATAGAGACATGATGTGCTGGTGGGCACTTGGCTCCAGCGAACCCCCAGCCCCGGGGCTCTTCCCTTTCCCACTGCCCACAGGTCATGACATGTCGGTAGACAAAAGGGCCAGACACTCATAAAACAAATTCTTCCTCAGTCTCACCAACAACGAGACCGTCAGTTCCCAGATAGGTGAACAGCACAGTAAAGCTTGCGTGGCCTGGCGCTGTCCGCAGCCAGATTTCCCTAATATATAACGTGGGCTTATTCCACTTGGATGCCCTCCTTCCTGCTCTACCTCCCAGGGCTATGGTAAGGACCAAAGGAAATGCTATAAATGAAAATGCTTTGTAAAGGGCTTTGTAAATGACAGTGTGCTGTTCAGACACTGGTTATGATGATGACGATGATGATTCAATCAGAGCTCCCCAACCCCTGGGTGGCAGTGATTGGTAGGGCAGACGTAAACTCAAGCCAGCTAATCAGTCCTTCCCAGGACTTCTCTGCCACAGCTATTGAAGGGGACTTTCTGCTGCGTCTAAGGAGTGCAGAGTCTGGGACTGCAGATGGCCACCTTGCCTGCCCCACAAGGGGAAGAGAGAGGTGGAAAGAGGCTCCCTCACTACAATGTTTGAACCCCTAGATGCAGCTATGCCTGAAACCAGGGCAACGCTGAGATCTAACATTACATGAACCAACTTCCCTTCTTTTTTTCCTTAGGCTAGTTGGAGTGTGTGTCTGACATTTATAACTAAAGGAATTCCAACTATCTCTTGGGTGCATATTAATCATTTATGTATTAGTTTTTTAATCACAAAATAAAGTTTTTAAGGGAAACGCTTTGCTAAAGTTTTTTTTTCTTTTTTTTAAGTTAACGTACCTATGAGCAGCGCAAAGAAGCAGAAAAAGCACTGAATAGAGAAATTGAGCAACGTGGATTCTCTGCTTGTTCCCACAGGAATTGCTGTGTGACTTTGAGTAAGTCTCCTAACCTGCCTGAACCTCATACAATAAGGAATTAGAGCTAATGATGTCTAAGGTATTTTACAGCACGAAATGTCTTCAGTTCCATAAAAGACATTCCAATTAATCTAATACGAAGTGTTCTTTTTTTTTTAAAGATTTTATTTATTTATTCATGAGAGACAGAGAGAGAGAGAGAGAGAGAGAGAGAGGCAGAGGGAGAAGCAGGCTCCCAAGGAGCAGAAAGCCCTATGCGGGACTCGATCCCAGGACCCTGGGATCATGACCTGAGCCGAAGGCAGACGCTCAACCATCTGAGCCGCCCAGGCGCCCCGAAGTGTTCTTAAGAAAGACTTTCTAGGGGCACCTGGATGGCACAGTCGGTTAAGCATCTGACTCTTGCTTTCGGCTCAGGTCATGATCTCAGGGTCATGGGATCATGGGAGCAAGCCCCATGTCAGTCTCTGAGCTCAGCATGGGGTCTGCTTGAGAGTCTCTCTCCCTCTCTCTCTGCCCCTCCTATTCCTGCTCTCTCTCTCTAAAATAAATAATCTTAAAAAAAAAAAAGACTTTCTATATAAACGTTAAGAATAAAGACTAACAATTTAAAATTAGCATCAAGCACTTACAAGAAAAATCTTTTAAACTGATAAGTTGCGTGTGAGATGTCTTCCCATTTGAAATTTCATATGAATTCATACACGCATGTGAAAACACTCGTTGCATCTCCAGTTAAACTGGGAAGATTAGAGACAAAAAATGGGAACAACCTGGTTAAAATAGTTGCAGTACATTCATACAATGGAATATTGTGTAACTGTAAAAAAGGAATGAGGAAATTCTTTATATATTGATAGGGCCGATGCCTGAGGCACATTTTTCAATGGAATGGGCAAAACACATGGTGGCCGTGCTATGTCAAAAGACGAGGAAAAGGTCATATGGATGTAATTCTTGGTGTGTGCATAGACAATCTCTTGAAGAATCTCAAGAAACTGGTGCCACTGATGACCTGATGGCCTCTTTGGAGACTAGGTCTTATTTTTCACTATGCATACTATATATGCTTTTTATCCTTGGAATGTCAAAACACGTGACTGTGTTGCTTACTCAAAATTTTTTTTTAATTCTAATTAAAAGAGTAAGAAAGGGGGGGAAAGTGGTAAAAAAGGGCAATACTATTACAGATGACTTAGGTGAACCTCATGGTAAAACTGAACCCCAACTAGGAATCCCCAAGTACCACTGTGCCTATGTATAGATGGGGAAATATACCCAGAGGGTTCACATACTCCACCATGGAGACACATCCAGCTAGTGGCAGACACCTCACTAATACCCTCCCTTCAAAGTCCACACAGACGACACAGCATGTAGTCAGCCTCCTGCTACAGCCCCTCCTGCAAAGCCCTGGATGGGGTAGAATGAAATTGGTCCAGGTAAGGATCGAGCCAGGGGTCGACCAATGAAATTGGTCCAGGTAAGGATTGATCCATGGCACTTCCAAAAGAACAGGATCAATGATTCCAGAACAAAGAAGGAGGAAGTCCCCACCTCCAAAATAAACTGTTCATATCGGTAATTGCTCATGTTTAACAAAGAAACATAGGGGCGCCTGGGTGGCTCAGTCATTAAGTGTCTGCCTTTGGCTCAGGTCATGATCCCAGGGTCCTGGGATCGAGCCCCGCATCGGGCTCCCTGCTCCGTGGGAAGCCTGCTTCTCCCTCTCCCACTCCCCCTGCTTGTGTTTCCTCTCGCGCTGTCTCTCTCTGTGTCAAATAAATAAATAAAATCTTTAAAAAAAAAAAAAAAAGAAACATAGGTGATGTGGAGTCACACCATGCGGACTTCTGATCTGACCACCTGTAAGTCTTTAAAACCAGTGTTTCCAAACTTGAGTGTGCATCGTGGGGAATGCAGTCCTCAGGATATGGTAAAATGCAGACTCTGACTTAGCAGGCCTGGGGTGAGACCCAAGATTCTGCATCTCTACCAAGCTCCCTGGGGCTGCCTATGCTGCCTGCCGGTCAAGACCACACTTTGAGTGTAGTTCTAGAACAACTCCAACCAACATGGGCACCCCTAGCCATGTGTGCACCTGCAATGTGGCCAGTCTGCAATGAGATATGTTAAAAGTGTAAAATATACACTGGAATTAAAAAACAATACAAAAAAATAATGTACAATATCTCACTCATCATTTCTATATTGGTTACATGCTAAGATGATAATATGACTGCTGTGTTGGGTTAAATAGAATCTATAATTAAAATTAATTTTGCCTGGGTTTTTTTCCTTTGTTTAATGTGACTACCAGAAAGTATAAAATGACACATGTGGCTGGCATTATATTTCTACTGGATTATACTGCTCAGGGAGGCTTGGCTCTCCTACAACCTCCGTCTTGAGAGTTTGGAACAATCTCAGTCACCACCCGGAAGTGTTTGCAAGGGTCTGTAAATTCTGCAGGGCCATCAAGAACGTGGATAGAGCTCACTGAAAAAATCTAGCCTCCACCCATCTCTAACAAATAAAACTTCTCCGACGAGTGAAATCTAGGTTAAAATAAACAATCGAAACAGGCTTAACCATAGAACCATGAGTGAAAGCATCCCAAACAATTGTGAATAGAGATTTTGCAGAGAAAATGCAGGCTAAGAAATCAACATGGAAAGGCGTGAGGTAACCTTGCCAGGCAGCCTTCCTTAGTCAGGTCTGCATTGTTTGGTGACAGTGGGAGCGGACATGTCAGCCCTGCCTTTGTTCCACTTGTCAGCACTGTCCCCACCACCCTGAGTCACCTCCCAGCCCTAGTAGCACCCCTAAAACCAGAGACTCTCTGAAAGCTGAAGACCCAGGACAATCACTTGGCCTCACTGCAACCTAGACACAGGTCTGAAGGTAGCCATCAAGTCAGAAGTGTTCTAATAGGTCAGTAGTGGAGAAAACTAACCAGTTCCTTCTGCATGGCCACAAAGCACTCAGCATCGCCTGGAGGCAAATTTTGAACTCAGACCCTCCCATTTCCATGCCCAAGATGGGTTCTATTTTTTACACCTCCTGGGGCCCTGTTGGAAAAGGCATTCCTCCTGGGCCTGCTCCCACCCTTGCCTGCTTGCTTTACTCCACAGGGTGGCAAGAGAGAGACGAGAGGAAAGGATGCTCAGGTGAATACATGGACATGTTTATACAGGAGAATAGGCACAGAGGCACACCTTTGGGCACCATGGGCCAGGTTCACTCTCCCACAAAACTCAGCTCTATAGACAAAGGAGCAAAGCAACCCTGTCCTGGGCCAGCCCAGCCCTCCCCACCGCTCCCACCAGCTCCAGAGGGCACTGACCAGGTTTTATTTCCAGCAGCCGAAGCTTAGGATCCTCAGGTGGGTGCAATCGTCTCTTCTTACGCCAGCAGCGGGCTGGGTATGTATATAGCTGGCCCGGGGCGAGGCCTGTGGACAGAGACAGCATAAAGGTTAAAGGCTCCAGGCTAGAAGGGGCCTTGGAAACCTCCCTGTCCAAGCTTCTCACTCACAGTGAGAGGAAACTGAAGACCAGAAAGGTAGCGTGACTTGTCAAGGTCACACAGCTGGTTGACGGTAGAACAGAGACAGTATCTAGGTCATCTGACCCCAGGACCCTTGCCCTGTCTGCTTCACCATGCTGTCTCTGTAAGCCCAGGACCATCATCACCATGACCAAGACAGTTCTGCTCTCCTGGTCTGGGGAGATCAGAGGGACCTCTTCAGATTCAACCTCACGACAGTGTTTCCAAGGCAGTAGACCTCCAGCTACTACCCATCAACTGCCCCTCTATACAGGTCCAGGTAAAGCAGGTTCTCTTCCAGGCAAAGCAGCAGAAGTCAGTCTGCCTACCTATAGATGGTCTGGACTGGGAAGCGTTTCAAGGAAACAGGATCAAGGATCCAGATCTCCTACCCACTGACTTTCTCCACCCACTGTTAGCTACTGGCATCTCGCCGAAGCCAATGCAAGCCCCAAGAACCTCCAACAGAATATAAGCCTACTCTGGTGACCAGGCTCCTCGGCCTGCAGAGCCAGCATACTTCTACATCCCTGCCCACTTGCCTGGGCCTTTCAGAAAGAAATGGGCAAGAGTCCAGTGGCTGGGCTTATATGCCAACCACACTGTCTCTCAAGAGTCTCCATTTAGATTTGGCCTTTGGCACCAAAGTTCTACACGAGCGCCATCTGTCATAACAACCACAGATAGATAAATGGGGCATGTGACAACCATTAGACCCATGTGGGAAGGTCATTTCCTAGACCTAGGACCACAGGGATAGAAAATATCAGGACCCTATTTCCATCGGCTGTCTGCCATTTGGGGACCTTTTGCAGAGACAATCTACCAAAGTTTCACTGCTATATATCCATTTCTCCATTTTTCATTTTTACTAGTCATCTCTACCCATTTATTGGTTTGGGTCCAAAGCAGAGGCAACTATTCCAGTACTAAAGGAAGCAAAATTGTCAAATTCTCTTTAAGTGCTAAGTTTCATCTTTAATCACAAAACTTCTCCCACAGGTCGCAAGGCTATGAAGAAGTTGGAGGTCCCCACCGCTCCCCTATTTGGGTTCTCAGAAACCATTAAGGATCATGGAGCCTAGAAGCTCCAGAAAAATCTCTGATGTCATGAGCTAAGGGCTTTTCATGTCCAAGAGTCATCCTAATGCTTAATTTTGTTGATAGCTTCATAGCTTCTGCACAGTAGGAGGATCCCAAAGCTCTGAGCTCCCTGTGCTCTAAGGACCAGCCTTGTGGTTGATTTGGAGAAGACCAAATGAATCAAAGTAATATTGCTCTCCCTTCCATGGAAGGTCCAGTTTTGACCTCTCTTTGAGGGAAGGCATCACTGGGAATAGTTTGATGTTTCTGGTGTGATTCACTCCAGGACCATGTCATCTCTGACCCTAGAATTCCTGAATGGCTGCATTGATTCTGGTCCCTTGAGCCACCTCTGAAACTGGTATGCCCCAGGATCCCAACAGAGGCCAAGTACAAGGGCAGACCCAGTACTCTACAACCCAGAACTGGCCCCACAAATCCCCACTCATCTTGGGTTAGTGATTCTTAATCCAGACTGAACCCAAAAATCCAGACTGAACCTGGAGAACTTCTTAATAACATCAAGGCCAAAAATTAATGCCCAAACTACCCAATCTGAATGTAATGGGTGGAGGAAATAGGCCAACTATTTTTTAAAGAACCTTATAGATTGTTCCAATGTCTGGCCAAGAACCCCTGGGTGTCTAAGCATCATCTAGTTACTGCCTGGATATTCTCTCTAATGTATCAAGATTAGTTTCATGGCCTTCCCAAAAGCATCTCAAGGTTCCAGTGTTTCCCCCAACATGTTGTCATTAATTTCCTGCTCATTATAAGACCCAGGATGACAGGAACTATGTCCATCTCTAGTATCCCTAATACTTGGCACAGTGCCTGGTAGGCATATCAAGAAGTACTTACCAAATGAATTCAACCAGAACTGAATCAGATTCAGAAATGCAGGAAGCAAATGACCTGCTATTCCTGGTTCCAGGATACTCATCCACCCACATCCAAACCAGCCAAGAGGGACCCCAGAGATGGGGCCAGGAGGTGAGTACAGAATCCACCCCAAGATGGCAGTCTCTGTGCCTTAGGCTCCTTCTTGCCCCACAGACTGCTTCATAGTATCTCCAACCTGACCAAGAGCAGGTGAGTAAGAAAGGACTGGTCCAGACAGCACTCAAAAGATCTAAATGACAAGAGGTCAAAACTGTCAACACTTGCCCAGGGCCTCTGCCCTCCCTGAGACCTGGTCACTGCACTTGTTGGTCAGCAGCATCAATGCAGCCTTGGGCTGTTCAGTTTATAGCTGCAGACCCACTCACCCACCCACTTGGTAGTAGGTAGTTCGAATGGCCAGAAGAGGGGACTGTTTTTATATCATTCTTTAACTTTCTCTGATGGATTACAGAAGGCCCGCGGTGCAGAGGAAGAGCACATGAGTCCTCATACCACCACTCCTATAATCTTGGAAATATCATCACACATTTCTGAGCCTGTCTCCTTACCCAGAAGATAAGAATATTAACAATACCTACCTTACAGAGGCTGTTGCGAGGATTAGCTTATATTCAAGAAGAAGCTCTTTATAACCATGAAGCCTTGTGCAAATGTCAGTTATTAATTATTGTGAGTTGGCTGATTTAGATGAGTCTGGACTCGACAGCCATGTGGCATGACAAGGCCGCCACCCTGCGTGCCCATGTTGCTCTTTGCTCCTTTAGCCATGAGGGTAGAAACAGGCCTCCCTTTGATGTCTGCCTTGACTCCACCTCATCTCAACAAGCAAATGGCCCCAAGAACTCTCTCGGGGCTCCAACCCCCCTTCCTTGCCCTCCTCCCTAGGCTGACAAGCACCAGGGTGCCTTTATAGGGCCAACGCATTCAGCCCCGGAGTTCCACTTATAGAGGGACGAGCAGAGCCCTGTGAGAGTTACGTTGTTTATCTCATTAGAACAGGAGGCACATAACTCAAAGCCTGTGTGTGTGGTAGATGGAGGAGGGAGGAAAGGGGTGGGGGGACCCACAGCTGCAGCCAGGGAAATTAACCTGAAGGAGTGAGCCTGGGGCTAGGGGGACTGTGGAGGAGGGGGGAAAGGAGGCAGGACAAAGACTGGGTGGGGGGGAACTAGTCTTCCCTGGTAACCAAGGCCACAGCTACCCCTCCATGCATATACCCCACTAAGCAAACTGCTTTTCTGTCCCTTTGAGCTGCAACTCCAGCTGTACCACCCGTACTCAGATGCCAACCCAGGCATCACACACACACACACACACACACACACACACACACACGAACTCACACACTGGCTGGAGGGAGAGCTGTCTCCACAGAAAAAAACAGCAGGATGGGCTTTGATGCCTGGATGGTCAGCAGACTCCAGACAAGTCGCTTGTTACCAGCATTGACCAAATCACCGGGTGGATCCTAAGTGTCAGGACTATTTCTGACAGACACAGCATAAGCTATTAAGAATTCAGAAGAAGGGGGCGCCTGGGTGGCTCAGTTGGTTAAGCGACTGCCTTCGGCTCAGGTCAGGATCCTGGAGTCCCAGGATCGAGTCCCGCATCGGGCTCCCTGCTCGGCTGGGAGCCTGCTTCTCCCTCTGACCCTCCCCCTCTCATGTGCTCTCTGTCTCTCTCATTCTCTCTGTCTCAGATAAATAAATAAAATCTTAAAAAAAAAAAAAAAAGAATTCAGAAGAAGGGGCGCCCGGGTGGCTCAGATGGTTAAACGTCTGCCTTCGGCTCAGGTCAGGATCCCAGGGTCCTGGGATCGAGTCCTGCATCGGGCTCCCTGCTGGGTGGGGAGCCTGCTTCTCCCTCTGCCTCTGCCTCTCTGACTCTCATGAATAAATAAATAAAACTTTAAAAAAAAAAAGAATTCAGAAGAAGTGGGACAGAAAAGAGAAGGAAGGATGATAGGGGATAGGAACAGGGTTTGAAAAGAAGAAAAGAACTGAAGTAACTTCCTCTTCCCCCAGCCAGAGTTGAGCGGTGGCAGCTCAAGCCCACCGTGCCTCCTCTCAGAGAGGTGGGCCAGCAGCTGCCGCCGAACACGCCCTGCGACAGAAACCTCACTACTTCACAGGACAGACTGCCTGTGGTTGGTCAACTCTTATTGTGATAAACAGTTTCGCTTCACCCTTATTTTGAATCAAAATCTACCTTCCTGTAACTTATGCCAATTTGTCCACTCTCGGTCCCCAGGGTGGACAGGTGTCACCTGTATCCCAACCATCTGTCCCATCCGCCCACTTGGGTTTGAAGGACAGCCAACGACAGGCTGAGGAACCGGAGGGGATGGGAGTTACAGGAAAGAGGCAGTGACCACACCTGCTCAGAACAGGGGTAACAGGATTCAAGTTTCCAAATTAAGAATCCAAACACTGCTTCCCTTTCATCATCTCCCCCTTGCCCACCCCCTACTGGACAGGAAAGGGATGGAACAGCAGGCTGCTCTTCAGACCATCACTGCCATTAAAGAGCTCCTCTGCATGTTGTTCCTACCACATGCCTCCACAATGGGTCACCAACAGCCCCCATATTTATAAACAGATAATGACAAAAACCAGGGGTTCTTCCCCAAGACTGGGCATCAGAACTGTATAAGTAGTTATTGAAAAGGGCAGATGCCTGGACTCCAGCCCAATCCTACTAAACCAGAACATCAGAGATAACCAAGGCAATTGTTGTTTGAAAAACTCCTACATAAGGATGCTACTAGATCAACTCTTACTCATATTTATATTCCCAGGGCCCAGGATATAATAGGTGCTCCATTAATGTTTGCGGTTGAAAACACCAATTTGGACCAATTCTACAGAGCTGGAGGGATGAGCGGTAAGTCCAGAGGTAGGGCTTGAGGAGCGGGCAAGA